CCTAGCTGTGGTGCCGTGTCCCTTCCCAGTCCCGGGCCGCGGTGACAGCTGTGGGGAGCCGGCTGCTGGAGACCCAGCGCTTTGTCTGCAGCCGCGCGTTGGGGACGTGGGCGTGCCCGTAGCCCTCGCCACCCGGCCAGGAGGCTGTACGACCGGGGAGGAGCCGACTCGCAAAGCCCTTGGGAAAGCTCGCCGCCAGCACCCTGGGTTCTCGGGTTGTTTGTTTGCTGAAGAACTGCTTCCTGGAGCCCGGGCTCCGTGGCCAACGCTGTGACAGCTAGCCTTCTGGCGGTAATAAAAGGTTTGAATCACCGGAAAGTGCCCCAGACGCATGCACCGATCTTCCAGCACTCAGGGTTCACCCTGGGATCTTGGTGACCTGCAGGTAAAGATTTACATTTGAACTGAAGACCTAAACTGCCTTTTCCTGGTCTTTCTCGGAGCTTTCTGTACCTGACTGGTCGCTGTCTGCCTGCGGGTCTGCCGGCCCCGGAACTTAAATTGCGTGAAGTTGGGCGAGTTGGTAAATTGATGGGCTTTGCGCATTGATTTCATTATTCATACCGGGTTAGAGGATACCTGGAATTTCCCTCTCTCGTAGGATCCGGTTTACACCTGTGGTCCTGGGAGTATATTTACAGGTGCGGCTCCATGGCCAACACCTGGGATGTTGTGAGTGGGCTAGGAGTGGTGGTGCACCGAATTCTGCCTCCTTGTGCTTAAACCCAGGACAAGTGAAAATGACCGTTTCTGTTTGTCTCCCGTGGGAAATAGATCCTCTAAAAGCTTAGAGAGTGCTTGATTGGAAAGGTTATAGTTTGTCTTGGTTTAAAACAAAAACTCATGGAACTTTTGGAGGGAGTTGTCTGGTTCTCAGGTTTGTCCTTAAATATGCTCTAATTTTGACTCGTTGCCTTAGGGTGCTATGATTTTGTCTGTGTGCTAAAGCCTGGGAAATACCTTTGAGGCATTACTCTTTCTGAGTCTCCTTGTAGGGTGGCTGGACACTGTTCTGAGTGGCTCAGAGCCACTCAGGGTCTGGAAGGGCAGATGGTAGGTGTGCCTGTCCTTCAGTCCTGGGCCAGGCTCTGTGGGAAGGGCTAGCCCTGTGTTCTTCAGAGCCTAGTAGGGGTGCTGTGTCACAATGCAATAACTCCTAATTGTTCTTCCCTGTCCCATAACACTGCCTTCTTATCCTTTTCTTTAATGGGCTGAAGTTCACTGGGAGCTTCTAAGAGGTGACATTTAAAAACTACTTTCATGTGCTTAGGCTGAATGCCAAAGCCATTCAGCCAGGCCACGTGCTCCCCTCCTATTGGGGATGAGCAGGAGGAAGTGTGCTTGTGCCTGAGAAGGCACCCCCAGGCCAATGGAAGACCTAGGATTTGTCTTGATGTGAAGCCCACCTAGCTGGGCTAGCCTCATCTCTCCTCTTAGAGCAGTGGTTCTCAAGCTTCCTAACACTGAGACCCTGCAACACACTTCCTCATGTTGTGCTGACCCCCAACTATAAAGTTACTTTGATCCTACTTCATTACTATAATTTTGCTACTGTTATGAATGTAAATATTTGATATCGACCCCTGCTGGGGTTGCCACCCATCTGTGGAATGACTACATACAGGCTGAGAAACACTTGTCTTAGAGTGAAAGCTGTGCCTAGGGCTACAGGAGGGTGTGCCAGTAGCCTTCATGACCTGGGATTTTGAGGGAACAGATTTTGGGGATGCTGTCCAGGACAGCAAGAAAAGAGCTTTGTTAAGCTGAGTTCTTAGCACCCCAAATATAAAAATCACCATCTGTCCATCCTAAGGTACACTTCCTGTCCCCTCTTCCTTCCATCAGGGTCGGACACACACACACACACACACACACACACACACACACACACCAGGGGAATCTCTGGCATTATTAGTGGAAGAAACCAGGAGGGTTGTTGTTGTTGTTGTTGTTGTTTTTTCCTGGTAACTCTTTAGGCCTTGCTGTTGGACCAGGTTTTGCTGGGTGGCAGATTTCTCTGGGAGCAGGGGCTGAATTTTCAGTGTTTTGGTGGAGGAAGAAAGTTGGACTCTGGCCATCCATTTTCAAGCCTTATACAGTTGAAAACAAATCCTTTAACCAAAGCCATCATCACAGAGTTATTTCACAGGTCACTCAGAGCACATGTAGGACCAAACCCCTCATTTTGAACGAACCCTTTTTGGAAGATATTATTTAAATATGGAGATTTGAGCCAAAATCCCTAAATTTTTGGTTTAATCTACAGCCAGGATCTTGCTACGAAGCTCTAGCTGGCTGGTACTCACTAGGTAACCCCGGCTGGACTCTAACTCAAAATGGTCCTCCTGCCTCAGCCTCTTGAGTGCTGGGATTACAGTCATAAAGCCACCAGGCTGGCTCCAACCAAGCTCCTTACTCTTGTTCTATTGTAGGGTATAGGACAGAGAAACCCTGCCCTCCTGGAAGCTCACCGGCAGAACCACCCGCACTGGTATTAATGGACTGTCTGTTGTATGCCAGGCCCTGTGCCAAGACCTTCCTGAGATCATGTCTTTGTATAACAATGTTGATGTCATTAGGCCATCACCCTCATTAAAAAATGAGTTGGAGAAGTTCAGGGCGCAGCAAACTGGCTAGTGACCTGGGTTTACTCGCTGTAGGTCAGTGTAGGGTCAAGAATGAGTGACACTTGCTAAGGCCCTGTGGTGCCCTGGGGAAGGTGCAGTTCTCCTGTCTGGGGTCAAAAGGGCCTCCACACCTCCATGAGGGTTCTGGGGCTGCTTTCTGGGCTAAACTCTCTTTGAAGTTGTTAATTGTGTGCATGGGAACTGTAGGGTTTGGTACCCAAAGCCTCTGCCCTGCTACTCCACTCCTGAGCTGTACCCCCCAGCCCGGAATATTTGTCTGTTGAAAGCTCATGGGTGTCGAAGTAGACTCCGCTTTGGAATATATGTCCTGAGGGTGGTGTGGGGCTCAGGCTTGGAGAACCGCCTTACCTTAGCCAGCACTAGGCCCCTTATCAGTTCTCTGGCTTTGTTCTGTCCCTCCCAACATTGGCCTTCTTCAGCCCAGCCTCCAGAACGAGCTTATTTTCCCAAGCTGATGATGTGAGCACAGGAGAGCAGATGGGACATCCATCCCCTCCATGTTAGGTGTGGCAGACTCAATTTGCAGATCCACAGCCTAAGTGACTGATGATTGGTCGTTCCTGCCCTTTCACCCAAGCCCACAATCCTCTCTTGCTGATGTTCACAGGAAGCCTAGTGAGTAGTAATGGAGCCAACAAGTCAAGTGCCCGCCCCTATACTCTGATTATTGACATGTGCTTTGGGGCAGACTGGCCAATGTCTGGAAGCCCCAAAGGCAGTGATGAGTGCCCACTTCCCTTCAGGAATCACAGAGCATCGTGTGAACGCCATTTGAGCAATCCTTCCCTGGGGCATCCAGGGCAAGAGCTTCCTCTGGTATCAAAATGTGCCTTTGATCAGTCGTGGGTGGTGGCATCTTCCCATCTGTGGAATGACTACTGCCTGCCAGTGTCTCCTAGGTACTATCATCAGGACTACAGATTCTTAATGCCTCTCTTTCTCCCATAGAGCTGGGCCGACCCTGATGGAAGGAAGAGGGGACAGGACCCAGTAGGACCCATTTGCTGTTGCTTTCCAGACCGTGTGAACTTCAGGGCTGTCCAAACAAAACCAACCTTAACCTGTTTCCGGAAGCATCTGATTTTGGGACTGGAGCGCCACGCTTAGGGGCGAAGTAAATGGCTCGACTCCCCGTGGGCATCCGCTTCATCATCTCCTTCTCCAGGGATCAGTGGTAAGCTCCGATGGTGGTCTGTCCCCTGGGGTGGTGATATATGTGGCAGAGTGACAGGGGGCCTTGGGTGGCTTTTTCACCCATATTTCATTATGGAGCATAAGTATCAGGCTTTCTCATGGCCGGTGTGTGGTGGTTGCCATTGCCTGGAGCCCTCAAGAGTCCTGTGTTTTGGTGGAGACATCACAGACAGCATTTGGACTCCTAATCTGTCAGGAAGAAAAAAACTTACCTTTTCTCTTTTTGCTTTATTTTTGTGCTGCTGGGATCAAACCCAGGACCTTTGTGTGCTAAGCAAGCACCCCGGCACTGAGACGAGTCCCCCTCACATCTCCCCTTTATGTTGAGTGCTTGATGCGCCACCATTCCAAGCATCTTCTTTTCTCAGGAGGACACCAGTCCTTGGTTTAGGGCCATCCTGACCTGACAGGAACTCATACCAACTCGTGACATCTTCGGGACATTATTTCTGAATACACTGATGCTCAGAACCCCTGCTCCTGTCCATGCAGAATGGTTCTGCTTGGAGAAGAGGATGGTGATAAAGCTACCATGTAGAACAAGGGATCCAGAGGGATCCTTAGGGACCTCAGTCGCATAGACCAGGATTGCAATTCCATGAAAGCACAGGACCTGCTTTTCCCAGAGGCCAAGCAGGGCAGATGGTGGCTACTAGCTGAGAGCAGCTATTACCTGCAGACCCTCCTGGAAGTCGAAAGACAGTCTGCAGCTACTGCCTCTCACTCACCCCAAATCCTCTAGGAAGCTGAGGCCAAAGAAAGAAGGGTGACTTTGGAAATGCAGGAAGTAGGTGGACCCAGCACTTGTAGATAAAGGCTTCCTTTTCTGCCTCAGGGAAATCCTGCTCTTCGTTGACCTCTGACTCCAAACCACCGGAGGAGGCTTGTGAGCCCTGCCTCCACCAGGCTCTCTTTCTGAAGGCTCCGTTTATGGCTTCGCCAGCCCGAGTGAAGAACCCCTTTGCCTGAACACGCCAGAGCCACCTGAAGAAGGGCCTGGTGGAAAGTGGGGCTCAAGGCTACCGACCCTCACCACCTCACTCCCCTGTCTCCTTGACTGAAACCTAGTGAGACCAAATGAGACCAAGGAATGTAGAATGTCAGGGCTTGGCCCTCCTCAGCCCTTATCATCACTACAGAAGAGTTTCAATTCCAGCACTGAGTAGACAGACAGAGCCTGAGGCCACTGAGCCTTCCCTCCTCTCCTAAAGCCTTAGCCAGCAGCCCTGAGTGGCCACTGGAAGATAGCCCAGGCTCCTGAGTCAAACTGAGAGGCTCTGGAGGGAAACCCATGCCCCAGCTGCCCTGCCCTGTGCACTGGAAGAAAGTAACTGGGGAGAAGCCTGTCTGGGAGGTGGCTATGGGGGAAGCTAACCAGCCTCAGGCTCAGGGGATGGGCCATGCAGCGACTTCAGCCAAAGAATAGAGAGAACATTCTGTTATGCCCCAGGCTTTCAAAGATGTTGAGATGCCTCGCACTTCCTGCAGGGCAGGCCCAGCTCTGTCTCTGGAGTGCTGGGATGAACTCTTTGCACTTCATAGGTTTGCTTTCTTCTGGTCACCTCGTGGGCTTGGGTGGAATGTCCCGTGGACTTTGCACTCAAGCTTCCCCAGGGAGAAGAGAGCTTAGACATTTAATTCCCTATTGCCCAGTTTCTACCTGTGGGTTTGGATCTTTCCCACAGAGCCACCACCCTACTTTCTCCACCTCAAATGGGGTCTTTGTTTGAGTCTGGAGATGTTTGTTTTGGCCTCTAATTTTTTAAAATCTGTTTATTCATTTTGTGTATGTGTATATGGCTGAGGGTGTGTACCTGTCATACAGGTGAATTGTGAAAGGTTGGAGAACAGCTTGTGGCAAACATAAGAAAGGGTTTCTCGGGCTGGAGAGATGGCTCAGAGGTTAGGAGCACTGACTGCTCTTCCAGAGGTCCTGAGTTCAATTCCCAGCAACCACATGGTGGCTCACAATCATCCGCAATGAGATCTGGTGCTGCCCTCTTCTGGCATGCGTCTTATATGCAGACAGAAGACTGTATACCTAATACATAAATAAATAATGAAAGAAAGAAAGAAAGAAAGAAAGAAAGAAAGAAAGAAAGAAAGAAAGAAAGGGTTTCTCTGGGGGCAGAGTCACTCAAGCAAATGAACTGAATGAGAGACAGGAGTCATAATTTATTACTTGTCATTAGAAGTGGGGGCCATGCATGGGATAGAACCCTCCCCCCATGGGGTCTGACACTATTACTGTGTAGACTGGTGTGAAACATGCCTTGAATTACAGAACCCCCAAGTGGAATCCACTCGAGAACTATTGGTTGTTAGGACAGAGTATTGCAGTGGGGGATGAGGCAGAAGAATTTGGCTTCCCCCAGCTCCTGCAGGGAGGGGTTCAGTGGTTTCAGTTTGGACAGTCAGGACTAGCAGTATTCTTAATGTTCTGATACTGTCATGAGACTTTAAGTGGAATTGGTGTGTGGCTAACACACAGACGACGCAGTGTGACACCTCTCATGCCCTGTAAACTACATGTGTTCCAGGTACCGGGCCTTCATTTTCATGCTGACATTCCTGCTGTACGCAAGCTTCCACTTATCCCGAAAGCCTATCAGCATCGTGAAGGTAAGAGATCTACACACACACACACACACACACACACACACACACACACACACCACACACCCACACACACACACACACGGCTTTCCTGTTATCTGCCTGAAGACTGGTGACTCCAGGAGCCAGAGGGCAGAAGGATGGGGGGCGGCCAAGAGATTGCTAGAGACTGGTCATTCTAGCATCTTCCTTTTAGGATCTTTTATCCTATTTTCCTCTTGCAGAAACTCAAATCTTTACAATGTTTCATGCTTTATCCTCTTAGAGGCACATCTGTCTCCATCAGACTGCAGTTCCAGAATTCCCAAACTTAATTAAATATTTATGTTGTCTGGGTTTTCTTTTCTTAAAAGCTTCCCCAAGTGGCTCCCACACTTGGTGCAGCTTGACCCCTGGCCCCAGGGCAGCCTCTTCGGTTCACACAGTGGGTGTACCCGTGAGAGCAGGGGAAGGGCCGGGGACAGGTGTCTCCCTGGACATCAAGTCCTCTGTTTAACGTCAGAACTAGGAAGGAAGCAGGTATGTTTTCTCACCCCACCTTACTTATGGGACAGTTGCAGGAGTGAATGGCCTTCGACTATTGTAGAAGAAACAGGACTGGTGCCCTTTGCCAAGATCAGCCTATTTATGGCTCTGTTATCCACTTGCCTTCTTTCTATCCATCATTAGGGACCTGGTCCAGGACTCTGGTGCTGAGACCTTCCCAGCTGAGCAGGGCTAGCCGCCCTCAAAGGGCCCGCAGCAGTGCAGACAAGGTACAGAGAGGGCTGCTGCCTCCCGAGGCCTGTGTGCCTCCTCCAGCACATTCGTTAACTAAGAAGGTTCTGAAGCTTTTCCTTGACTCCAGGTAGCCAGGAGTTTGCCATGGAAACAAAACACTTGGAGACCTTTAAGAGAGGTTTCCTATGGGTAGGAAAGTAGTCAGTGGCATTAAAAGCTCTCTCTCTCTCTCTCTCTCTCTCTCTCTCTCTCTCTCTCTCTTTCTCTGTTTCT